TTCTTCAACAATAGATAATAGATAGAAACTGTGTTAGGCATGTCCAGAGAAACAGAACCAATTAGAGAGAGAGAGAAAGGGAGAGATGTTCATTTTCAGGAAGTAGCTTGCGTGACTGTGGAACACCTGAATTCTGCAGGGCAGACTGGCAGGTTGGAAGTTTGGGCAGGAGTTGATGTTGTAATCGAGTCTGAGGGCAGCCTGCAGGGAGACTTCTGTCCTCTTTGAGAAACCTCGGTCTTTGTTCTTGAGATGTTCACCTGATTGAAGCCCACCCTCACTACATAGGATAACCGGCTCTACTCAGATGTCACAGACTTATGTTCATCACATCTGAAAAATACCTTTATCCAAAATCTAAACTGGTGTTGGATCAAACAGCTGGGTGCCATAGACAAACCATGTGACACAAAAATTAGCTGTCACCATTTGTCGAACAATAAAAGGTCATTATTAGGCTCAAATTAGATTAAAAAAAAGGCTTAGGCAGACCTTTAGCACCATGCCCGACACACAGGAGGCTCTCTGTTGTTGTGCTGCTGCGGAGGCTGCTGGCACCACTGCAACTAATGCCGCTCTTCACACCGCTCACGCTCACGCATCTCTTCCCGTGACCAATGACAGCATGCCCTCGCGCTCACCGACTCATCTCCTGAGATTTGCAGAACATACTTATTCACCATGAGTCAAATAGCTGCCACACTACTCCATTCAGACTCCTGAAAGCCTTATAAACTCCAGGCATGTATTCCTTGGAAAAGCTAGCCCAAATTATTGGTAATTAATAGCTTTAGGTTCAAATTTTGGAATATAAACATTGAGCACATTAAGGGTTCCAAGTCTCCATTCCCCATCTGTAAACCACGACAATATGACTTATCTCAAGTTTTTTGTGTACTTTTTTTTTTTTCTGAGAGAGGCAGAAGCAGAGGGAGAGAGAGAGGGGGAGAGAGAGAGTCTTAAGCAGTCTCCACACCCAGCCCAAACCCCAATGTGGGGCTTGATCTCATGACCCTAAGATCATGACCTAGGCTGAAATCAAGAGTTGGAGGCATCCCAACTAAGTCACACAGGTGCCCCTATTAAGCACCTTTCTGAAGCTCCATGGGATTATCTTGCTCAGCTCCAAATGTATTTATTCATCTTTCTATTAGTCTCAAACTCTTGTGTTATAGACCAAGCATCTTAATACTAAAAACCATACCCTATGTGTGTCTGAGCTCTCTTCCTTGCCTTCCTTCATGCCTGACACCTTGTAGGAGGCACTAAACTATTTGATCACTGATGATGATAATTAAATAATTTGACATTCAAAGCTGTATCGTTGATATCGACTACCTTTTTTGAAATTCATGGTAAAGAAGGCAGTGGATGAAGAAATAGGCCATAGGGAATATAAAATGAGGAATGGAGATTGGTCCAGTCCATGAAGTAAGCCAAAATATGCAAAGAACGGGAATCCATGGCACCAGGAGATGAGCACACCGGAAGGTAAGTCTGTGACCCTTTTGCCCTGGACCATCACTAAACACCATATTGTGCCTTATTGTCCTGCAAATGTATATAGCAATATATTAATTTCTAAAATAGAATGACTGGCACCAACAGAGCCTTGGGCAAATATCAAGTGCTAATACATTTGGAGGGAGGGCAATCTCAGAGCCCAGTTTAAAGGAAATTAGAATAAAACGGGTAGGAATAACACATAAGGCAGTGCCCTCCTGAGCTTCAGAGGAAGAGACGGATTGTATAGTCTCATGGTTGCTCTCAGAACAGAGTTTAAAGAGTCACTTCTCCTTGCACCCCCTTCAGGATGCAGGAGGAAACTCGGACTTGGAAATAAAATACACAATGATATTTTTACCTGGAAATAACATATTTCTACTTCTAATATTTTTTATCTGAAGAAGATACTGTGTATTTGTAACAAAATGAAAAGCTTTACCATGAAGAAATCCATACATTTTTAAAGTAATACTTAACAAAATTCAGCCCAACAGATAGTAAAGTCTCCAACCTGAATTTAGGCTCAATAACCATTTGTCATAGACACTTCTTTTGCCTCTTGGCTGCTTCTATAACAGGTAAGCAGGCTAAAATCATAGACAATTACTCCTTAAAAAGATTAAGATCCTTCCCAACATTTTTTAAAAATCAAGTTTAGTGCATTCACTGAAGGCTTTGTAAACACTCTCTTTATTTATTCATTTTAATAAGTATTCACATTAAAAATATAGAAGTAAAGAAAACAAAAACATTCCCTACCTTCTGAAGCTTATGTTCTGTCTGAGCAAAGCAACAACAATAACAAACTAAATAAAATTAAACAAGGAAACAAGAAGGTTGATTCAATGGGTAGTTACGTGAATGGGTGGAGAAAGATTCGATGCTGCATTACATAGGTTATTTAAGGCAAAAAGAAAAAAAAAGATACTTCTCTTAGGAAACGACACTTGACACGTCCTCTGGAGGATGGAAAGAAATGCCTGTGTCTTAGGATGAGCAGTCTAGGGAGAGAACACTAGGTAGGGACACTGGAGACAAACAGAAGTAACTACTAAAAGACCAGAGTGGTTTCAAGAGAGGACTTCAAAGTCAAGGAATAGGATGAAAATGGAAAGCAGGCTGAAGTCCCAGACCATGTACAAAATGTGCATTGCAGGCGAGAGCTGGCTCCTACAGGCTCCTTTTGACCCTGGAGCACCACCTGTGCACACCTCTCTCCAACACCCCGCTCGGTGAAGTCACATCAGCTGCTTGAACTTGGCCATGGCAGGCGTATTTATACTATGAGATCTGTAAGGCTACAGTTCCCTGCCAACCCTCTCTATCCTTAGTCCCCCATCACCTAGGAAATAGAAAAAGCAGGCTACCAATGTCTAGCTGTCCAGGAACTCTTCCTCCAAAGCAAAAACTTGTGTGCCTTTTTCGCCATCCCGTGCTTTCGCTGGCCGAGGCGTAAACTGTTTGGAGCAGTACAATGGAGGAAGTCTTGGCAGCCAGCTGCAGAGCTGCGCCTTCGCAGAGGGCTCGTTTTATCTCCTTTTCTACTTGCAGGTTAATGTAGGACCATGGACCCCTTGATGGAGAGTGCTTGCTGTTCTCACATCAGCTGCTTTGTACTGTGGTCATCAGCTTTCCCCAGAGCAAAAGTAGGCACCTAAAAGAAAACAGTGGGTTCACAACCTTTGACGTCAGCTGGTCTTTCTGTTACTTTGTACGCTCTTCAGCTCTGAAACCACACTGGCTCTTCAGCTTTATCCCCATGTCTTGCAAGGGAAGAGCTTTTAGATAATCATTCACATTCTTCTTTTTCCTGATTGAGAATTTTTACCCTCTTTTGCATTATTTCTGCAATAATTTGGAAACATATTTATCTTTTTTAACTTTTTAATATCTGTGCCAAATTTTTTGTACTACACTTATTTGTCAAAACAAAGATTCTCATATTAAAAAACCAAAATGCATTTTCTTTTCACAGAACAGTTGGTGTCTTGTGGACACAAGCTTATTGCAGGGAGCCAGAGTCAGAGTGGGTGTAAGTTACAAGTTGGGAGGAGGGGACAGGGCCACCACTGCCAGCCTGAGACCAGTAAACTCTGAGACCACAGGGGCCATAGCCAGTAGGGTGTTGGGTCGGTGGGCTGCTCTTGGCCCTCATGTGCCAGTGCCTAGGACATAGTGGAGAGTTTAGGAGGACATGGAAGGTATAGGTGCCTGGATCTGGTTGTAGCTGGGGGCAGGAAGGTGTGCGTGTGTGTGGGTGTACGTGCATGCGCGCAAGCGTGTGTGTGTGTGTGTGTGGCAGGACAGTGAGGAAGCCCCCACCCTGAGGGTCTTCAACCACTGAAAGACAAGCCATTCAAACACAGATGGCTCACGATGACCTAGAAGCCTATCCACCCCTACAGCTTTTTCCCCATGTTTTTTTAAATTTACTTCTGAGAAAGAGGGACAGCGTGAGCAGGGGAGGATCAGAGAGAGAGGGAGACACAGAATCTGAAACAGGCTCCAGGCTCTGAGCTGTCAGCACAGAGCCCGATGCGGGGCTTGTACCCACGAACTGTGAGATCATGACCCGAGCTGAAGTCAGACGCTTAACCGACTGAGCCCCCCCAGGCGCCCCAACAGCTTATCCTTCTGGTATAGGAAGTCTTCCACCAAGCAATGCCAATCTTTGCCCAAGGCCCACAGAAAAATGACACATTTGGGGTCCTCCATTTCCACCTACTAATATTGTAGAATTAGGGAATCAGTGCTGCTTTCTGGCATCCGTCCTTTAGAACCATCATGACGCAAGGCGCTAAAATTCTGTGTATTTATCTCTGGGTTTCTCTGAGGGTAAGTCCTAGGGAAACAGTTATCAGTCACTGCGTTTTCCTCTTTGGACAAACATGATTGTGAGTGTCGTAGGGCTGTCACACAGAGACTTCCAGAGGCAAGGTACAAGTAAACCAGTGGTAACTGAATTTAGGTAGAATAAAATATATGTGCTTTCTTTTCAATGAGATACACATGTAGGTCTTCCAGAGAAATAAAAGGGAAACAGAACTCCTAACTAGACATTATGACATTCTAACTAGATATAACATTCTATGTTATGTTTGTTGTATTTGTTATGTCTGTGAAACTGGAAAGAATAACATATCTCAGTTTAATATTTATTTTTTTAAGTGGCTACATAGGTTTTATACTGAGTGTGGATTTTAGAATAACACCAACTTGAATTCTAGTGCAACTTATGATGTTTACCAGCTGAGTGTACTTTGGCATTTGCAATACTTCAACTTCAGTTTCACCGTCTGAACTGGACATATTAGTATCTATATCACAGAGTTTATAAAGTATATAAAAGTACTGCAGAGTTGAAGACATAAAAATGTTAAGTACATTAAGGACCTGATGGTATAATCTAACAAGACTAGACTTTAGAATTTGTTAGACTTTATTTGTGATTCTGTCTTTGCCAGTAGTTTAACTACAGTAGATTTTAAAATTTCTCTGAAAGTTGTTTGAGCTTGCAGTTGAGGCCACTGGCTGTCCGCCAAACTCACAAGTGTAGGTAGTGTGTTACGTGAGGGCCAAATCTTTCTAACACCACACGGGTCTCTGGCCCAATGAGTGGAGTTTGATAGTAATTCTTACTAAAAGAAAGAAAATTAATAATAAAGTGAAATAAAATTTCTGATAACCTCAGTTTTCTTTAATTTTAAAAGGAGCTGACAATACCTTGCAGGTCCTTGGGAAGAGTCACATGTAATCATATGTTTTATACAGTGTCGTGTGCAAAGTCAGAAAGCAATTAAAAGTGGACTTGATTACCATTATGGCTGTCATTCAAAATTCTTACATAAATTATTTTGAAACAAAACCATATGTAGAAAAAATCAATCAAAACCTTGCAATAGATGTAGATCCTAGGATTTTTTTTCTTTTTCTTTTCTTTTTTTCTTTTTTTGTGCATTTCTTCTACATGTTTGTTTTCTGCACCATTCAAATTTAGATTTAAAAACTCTTGAAGAGACTCAAGTCTCAGGGTAAAGATGGAATATTAGCAGGTGAGTTTCTTTGCCAAAACACAGGCCACTACTCCTCCTTGGTACAAGCTTCCAGTTCATTCTGTTTCTGTGTCAATTTTTTGTTATGGCCTGAGACTGGACTGTTTGAAGGATCAGAACTGAAAATCTTCAGACTGGAAGATGAAATGGATTCCACTTTGAGCTCTTTAATTAGTTTCTAGAGCTTTCTCTTTCAAGCACGACTTCCGTAGAAAATGAACTCCTTTTGGAGTTTTTCCAAAGCTCATTTTAGCTGTATTCATAAAATATATTTGGCCTAATAAACTAAGTCTATTTTTAAAAGGTGATAACCAGAGGGCTGTTTTTTTAATTTACTTATTAAATAAAGAGTTTGAGTTTTCTTTTATTGGTGACTATCTGTGCCCTTTTCTATGCTAGGAAATTGTCAAGATTCTGTTCACAGGAATTCATTTATGGCCTTGAAAGTTAGAGTTATTGCACATAAGGAATATGTCCACTCTGAATTTACCATTAACACATTAGATAGCCTTGTAATTTCTCCGCTTCCAACTATGAACTGAAGAGAATTCTCAGTTCAGTGTTTGCATCTTTGCTTTTGTTTGTTGATATCTTCAGGCCTAGATATTTAAAGCCTTCTCTGGTTTCTGCAGCCAAGTATTTTAGATGCCCTAGTACTCTCTCTTGGTACCTGGTAAAGCAGTAAGAACTGCTTTATTGCATGAGAAACATTGATGATGCATCAGGATCCTTTCTTTTGATAGAACATGTCCAGCGATCTCCTGCTTTAATATCACTGTAGCATATCCCACAGACTATTGAGCTGTTAGCTTCACACTGATCTAAGGAAGCCCCTAATATAACTGCTAGAAAAAGTCACAGGCAGCAAATCTGATTGCAGTGTGTTAGCAGTTCTTCTACTTTGGATACAACCAAGATTTTATACCCCTTACTGTTTTAAGAGTAAGTGCTTCCAAGCAAGTTTTACATGAAAGCAAGAGATCTAAGCCAAAATGACTAATGTGATTTTGCTCATATTTTCAACATGCAGTCCTCTTACACTCAAGATATCCTTGGCATATCTTTTCTCAGGACGTTTGTCCCCTGTCCCTCATACTTGGGGCCCAAGATATACTTCACATTCCTCTTTCATAGCAATACTCCTCTACGTGGTGTCCACAGATGATCTGTTAAACAGCCAAGAAGATGGGGTGCCTGGGTGGCTCAGTCGATTAAGCGTCCGACTTCAGCTCAGGTCATGATCTCACAGTTCGTGGGTTCGAGCCTCGCGTCGGGCTCTGTGCTGACCACTAGCTCAGAGCCTGGAACCTGTCTTCGGATTCTGTGTCTCCCTCTCCCTCTCTGACTCATTCTGTCTCTATGTCTCTCTAATGTTAAATAAAACATTTAAAAAGTTTTTAAAAAACCAAGAAATAGTTATGAGTTGACAAAAGTTTAATATGTTACCCTTATTAGAAGCTCTTTGATGGGTTTTATACAAGGCACTTTAATGACTATATCAAAAAGGAAAAGAAAACAGATACTTTTGTCTGGATTACCATGGTATAATCACCCAAAAACTACTACCTTGAAATGCAACCTCTAATTCATTTTCTTTCTTTCACACTAGGCTGTGAGTTCCCAGAGTAGGTATGAGATTCTGTTTGACTTTGTATCCTTAGTAGTCAGAATAGCACCAGGCACGTACTATCTCAAGAATGTTTGTTGTATGAACGAATGAGGAGTAAACGATGCTCAGATAGTATAAGCCAACAGGATGCAAATACATATTTGAAGAATAGGACCTGAACAGAACAATGTGTGATCTTTCAGTCTCCAGCCATGTAAGTGAGATTAGCCTGAGCTTCATACCTCGGAAACAAACAGATGAACAAAAAGTACACACCTGACATTGTGAGAACAGAAACTCAAGGCATTTGCCATAAGAATGTGCTCTGAGGCAAATTAGATTTACGAATATCCTTCCTTTAAGTGAGAGTGAAAAAGGAAACCAACAAACTGGAACAAACCATTTCTTCTCCAAAAATCACAAGGACAAGAGCAATGAAGAGAGAGGATGAGGGAGTAACATTTAGCCTCAAGTCTGTACCAAGCCCATGTATCAATAATAATACTCTAGGAGTATTGTCGGTTGATATATATACAACCTATGGAAAATGAATATATGTATTTATTGTCCTACTTAGAAACTCAATTGCGGGGACACCTAGGTGGTTGGCTCAGTTGACTAAGTGTCAGCTCAGGTCATGATCTCAGAGTTCCTTAAGTTCAAACCCCATGTCGGGCTCTGTGCTAATAGCTCTGAGCCTGGAGCCTCATTCAGATTCTGTGTCTCCCTCTCTGCCCTTCCCCCACCTGCGTGCGCTTGCTCTCTCTCTCTCTTTCTCAAAAATAAATAAACATTAAAAACTCAATTGTGGAGTTTTTCCATTTAAAAAGTAACATATGCTTATTTTTTAAATCAACAAGTTTCTAAACGATGTACAGATTTTATAAGAATAAAAACTTGAAATAAATGCACTGTCTTTCACATGACTGTGATAAACATATTATAATTTATAATTAAGATTTATTTGTCCTCAAAGAATGGCTTTTAAATGTCATTTGAAAAAAAAGTCAAGAATGCTACCTACAAAATAAAACCAAGCCATATATTTAACATTTTCAGATACTATTTTTCTTACTTTATGGCCTTTAAGATTATGCCAGTGTAGGTGGGGGCAGGAGAGTGTATTTTTGTGTATTATTATCACACTAGGATTCTGTGGCTTCTTTGTTTTCTTCACATTTTACCTAAAGGCAAATTACATCAAAATGAAGATAAAAATGTTAACATCGTCCCATAAATACTCATCAGGATATGTTTTTAGGTAAATGTTGTTAATGTTTGGAAGTTATAGAAAGTCATAAATACACTACTGGAAAGGTTAATTTCCCTTCCAACTCCAGAGAGGAGAAAGAGAGAGATAGAAACAGAGACATTGTATTTCCTGCGCTGTAGGCTATGCTGAGCTAGTAGCAAAAGTAGAATGCAATTGAAACCATGAAAATAAAATGTCCATTAAACTGGTATTCATTTTTCAGACAGCTAGTAGGCAGCATGTATCAACCATGTGAGCGTAATTACTGTACAGTTTCTGAAAATATGTGGTGGGAGTCAGTTATTCACCATGTCAGGACTTATTTTTGGATTTGTAAAAGATCGCAACGTTGGATAATAACATGGTGTCAGCCCTGCATGAGGAGACAGAAAGATGAAGTCTAAATTGTTCTGAATGCCTGCAAATGGATCAAATGGCTCAAAATAATAACTCAATTTTTATAAGGACTGTGATGATACTTTCCACCTTTCAGAAATACATTCTTTATGGTACAAAATGTGCTATATAAAATTGCTAAACTCTATTGTCCTGAAAAAAAGTATAGAAAAGTAAAAATAATGGAATGCACTGCTTAAGAGAGAGAGAGAGAACCACAGATGAAACAGCAGCTCAATAATGTGTATTCAAAAATTTTTCTAGTAAATGGAACCAAAGATCTCCTCACCTTATATTCTACTACTTATTTATACTTGAAAGCCTTGATAGATCAGAGCTAAGTTTGATCATTTGGCATTCTAAAGATAACATACTTTGTGTTTATTCTCCTCTTGATGGTTTTGACTCTAAAAATAAACTTGTTTATTAGAGCGTGTATAGAAAAAAAATATCTTGAGAGGATTCACTGGAAAAAAATAGGGCAATGAGGAAATTAAATTTCATTTTAGAACAGAATTTGGGTGGTTTCTATATTTCCCATAATATGGTAGCATTTGCTCCATGTATTTTGTTATCTCTACAAATAGAAAAATCACAAAGTCTTCCACCAGCAGATCAAGTGCTGTTGGAGCTTGGTGATAGATTTTCACACCTCAACAACATTGATTTAACCCTCAAAGTTGTACTGAAAAAGTAAAAAGCAGTTGAATGTATGGTAGGTAAGGAAATGGATGAGAAACAGAAGGAAGTAGGGGAAACACAAGGAAATACTGTCGCTGTCCCCCCCACCTCTGACATTCAACCTAACTACAAGGCGATGAGGTGTTCAAGCCTTCCATACGGTGACTTCAGAAACAGCTTCTGCTGCAACTTAATTAAGATTGGTTGATGCAATGAAATCAACATCCCCTAAGTAATGGCATGAGCAATATATTGTTTTTACCTTTGGTCAGTTTCACTGCTAGGTATTCAAACACACTAAAAGTAGTTTGAGGTTAGAATGACATTTGCTTTGCAAGTTCACGTTTTTTTTTTTTTGGTTTTTTTTTTAATAGCTACACTATCAGTTTGTACTGAGTGAAGGCTAACATTGAATTTCCAAGGTTTTAGAATGACCTGTGTCAGAACTCTTCTGGCATGAAATATTATGCATAATTCATAATGCCCGAACTCTTCAAAATTCAACAAGCATGATTTAATTTCAGACTAGTAGATTAGAATTAGTATGACATTTTTGGCACTGTTATTAATTTTAATAACAAAAGAAACAATTATATGAATATGGCCAAAAAGTCTATTAAATAATGTATTTTAAGAAATCCTAGCATATATGCCTA